GTGTGTGTGTGTGTGTGTGTGGTGTAAGGTGTGTGTGTGTGGTATGGTGTGTGTGTAGGGGTGTTGTGGTGGAGTTGGTTGTAGTATGCACATGGGGGTCACATGGGGGATTGTGGTGGTGGTGGTGCAGTTATGAGTGGAATGAATGTGTGTATCAGAGTGCACACGTGGAGGTCAGAGCAGAGTCGATTCTCTCTCGCCACTGCTCTACTTGCAGCCCAGGGATTGTACTCAGGTCATTAGCTTTGACAACAAGTGCCTTTTCTCACTGAGCCATTTCTCCAGCTGTTTGTTTGTGACAGGGCCTCATGTAGTTCAGGCTGGCCTTGAACTCATAAACTTCTGATCCTCCTGTGTCCACCTCCTGAGTGCTGGCACTATAGGCCTGCACCACCTCAGTCAGCTTGCCAGCTGCACCTGAGTACATATTTCACACATCAGATTTCCTGTTCTGTCTCAACACCTACAACACAACTCATCACAGTGAATGGAACGTTGCTTGAATACATGAAGTCATATGGTTATGCTGTTAATGACGGTAAGGTTGAGGAATATAGGGTTCAGTGACATCTAAAGGCTCTTCCAACTCCCAAAACTAATAGCTCTATCTATCTAAAACAAAAAATGATGAAGCCACCAACTCACCATTCAGCACTTGGAGGCTCAGCAGACCTAAGACAATAAAGAAATGCAAATAGAATCACAAAGGTAGCCACATAGAACCCAGGTCAACAGGGCCCACAGGCTGACCCAAATCCCTGACTCCTAGCAAGCCCTGCAGAATTCTGGCCCGCTTGCCTGCTTGCCTGCTTTTTTGCTTGCTTACCAGCCTGCCTGCCTCCTTATCTGCCTGTCTGTCTCTTGTTTGCTTGCCTGCCTGCCTGCCTGCTTGCTTGCTTGCTTGTCTGCCTGCCTGCCTGCCTACTTGCTTCCTTACTTGCTTCTGATATAGGAGAAACTGGGAGTTTCCTAAACTTTCTTAGGAAATATTAAACTATACAAAGCAGAAATTAGCTAAAGGAGCTCTCTGATTCTTTTATCCAGAAGAGCATGATTCTGCCAGGCAGACAGGATAACCTCATTTGACAGCTGCCTGGTAAAGCAGCCCTAGTCAATCTCAGGATAACTATGACAATATTTTACCCTGTAACTGCTCTCAATCTGTCCAAACAACTAAAACTTAGCTTTTCTTTCTCTCTGTAAAACATGTTTAATTGCTCAAAATATAACCACTTGGGGTGGTGAAACTAAATAAGAAAACAGGGTTTTCTGTTTAGAGCTGGTTCCCTTCTGTGCATTAGCCAGAACCACTCAGACTCATTTAAAGAGTTTTTCCTTATTAATCTCTAAGTGGTGCAGTGATTTCTCACTGGGAGGGCTTGTCAAGTCTATAATATATTCTTTAACACTTTCTATTTGGGGGGTACAGTCTCATTGTGTTAGTTCTGGCTGACCTGGAACTTACTATGTATGTAGCCCAGGCTGGACTCAAACTCACAGAGATATGCCTTCCTTTGCCTTTGGGATTATGCTCAGCCTGGCCCCTCTCATATCATCATCATCATCATCATGTGTGTGTATATGCTTACATACGTTACTATGGGCAAAGCATATTTATAACAAGCACACAGATGTCAGAAGATAACTTGCAGGAGTCAGTTCTGTCCTTCTACCATGTAGGACCTGGGGCTCCAACTCAGGCTGTCAGGCTTGGCAGCAAATGCCTCTGTCTGCTGAAGCATCCCACTAGCCTGCTAGTCTCTCTCTCTCTCTCTCTCTCTCTCTCTCTCTCTCTCTCTCTCTGTGTGTGTGTGTGTGTGTGTGTGTGTCTGTGTCTTCCATGTGCATAGGCATGCATGCATGCCAGAGGTCAACCCCAGTTGACATTTTTCAGGGCTGTCTGTCTTATTTTTAGAAACAGAGTCTCTCATTGGCCTTGAGCTCACCAAGTAGGCTGTATTGGCTGGCCAGTAAGCCCCAGAGATCCACCAGTTGGTGCCTTCCAATCACCAGGATTATAGGTGAGTACCACCAGTCCCAGCATAGGTGCTGGTAACTGAATTCAGGTCCTGAAGGTTCAGGGAGTCCTGAGCCCATTGGCACCACATCTCAGGTTCCCACCTCCCTACACACTCTGATTCACAAGAAAGCAGCTTGTTATACAAGTCCAGAGCCCACACAGAGTGAGCTGCTTACCAAGGATCTCTATGGTCCATCCAGGAGGCAGGCAGTAGTGATGAGTTCAGGATCCATGAGAGAGGAGACCACAGAAAGGAGAAATAAATCACAACATTAGTTGGTGGGAGGTAAGGACCAAAGAAGCTGAGGGCCCAGGACAGTGAGCCTTCGAGCAGAGCTGAAGAGGGCTGGCCCAGAGACCTAGAGGTCAGAAGAGAATCTGACGGTGATGAAGGACAAAAGGAATAGGTAAGGCATTTTAAATGTATTTGTACCTTTACATTTTTATTTATTTATTTTATGTGTATGTATGTGTCTGCACACCACATATATAATTGGTGCCCTTGGAAGGTATTGGGTCCCCTAGAACTGGAGTTACAGATAGTTTTAAGCTGCCATGTGAGTGCTGGAAATTGAGCTCAAGTCTACTGGAAGAGCAGACATCCTTACCACTGAGCCATCTCTCCACAGCCTCCAATGTTAAAAAAAATAATTGTTTTTATTTGTATGTGTGTGTATGTGTCTCTCTCTTTGCATGTGTGTGGGGGGTTGTGCATGTGTGCCACATAAATGCAAGTGCCTGCAGAGGCCAGAAAAGGGCATTAGGCCCCAGGGATCTGGAGTTACAGTGAATGTGAGTCAAGTTTATCTGTCTGTGTGTGTGTGTGTGTGTGTGTGTGTGTGTGTGTGCGTGTGTGTGTGCGCACATGTAGAGGTCAGAAGACAACTGATAGGAGTCAATTCTCTCTTTCCTCTGGAGATCAAATTCAGGCTTAGCTGCAAGCTCTTTTACCCTCTGGGCCACCTTGCTGTTCCCATACTTGCCTTTTTGAAAATGAGAGTAATGCATTCCCACTCTACCCCCGACGGTCTCCGCACTGATGGTGGGCCTCCTGGTGGGAATTAGGAGCAGCAGGTAAAGAAGAAAAATGTAAACTTACGTTTCAATACTGTTGAAACAGGAGCATCAAGGAGAGGAAAATCCAGGTAGAGGTGTTGGGTACCAGTGGAAGTGAAGATCCAAGAGGAAAAAGGGGTTAATGATGCCTGTCCCTCTCCCATCCCACCTGGAACATCCTCAGCAGAAGCCCTCCCCACAAAGGACATGGAAATATCCAGTCCAGGGACACAGGTGAGTCTGTACAGAGATGCTGGATTGCCTATTACCTGCCTGCTTTAAGACATTCATCCTTGTGCCTGAAGTCCTCTGGCCCTACTTTTCCCAAGGGATTCGTGCTCCAGCTATTTAAAGGGCACCAAAAAAGCATTTCTACCTTTCTCTCTTTCAGGAAGGAAAGCCTGGCTCTTGGATTTTTATTTTGTTTTATTTTTCTACCTATAAACATATACAACTCCTGCTATCCCATGCTCTAGGGCAGTGGTGCAGTTTGAGAATCTGCTCAAATCCTGCTGAGTCCAGTCCCAGACCCCACCATGCAGCCCCTGGAAGTGGTTGGAGCTTGAATGCCACCTGGAGTCTCCCCTTAAGTGAGGTAAATTCTTCTAAAAACAGCTTTTTCTTCTCCTCCCTCTCCTTCTTTCCTCTTCCTTTCCCTCCCATCTCCTCCCTTTCCTTATCCCTCTTGTTCTTTCTTTCTTTCTTTCTTTCTTTCTTTCTTTCTTTCTTTCTTTCTTTCTTTCTTTCTTTCTTTCAAAACAGAACCTCATGTAGCCCAGGTTAACCAAGGCTAGCCTTAAACTGCTAATCCTCCTTCCTCAGCCTCCAGAGTGCTGGGATCATAGGCATATACCACCATGCCTGGCTCCCTTCTTTCTTGTTCTTCCTTCCAAACATCTGAAAACACTCAAGTTACCCACAAAAAGGAAAAAACTATAAAAACCTATTTCTTTTGCTAGGCATGGTGACATATACCTGTAATCCCAGCACTCAGAAAGCTGAGGCAAGAGGATCAAGAATTTGAGGTCATCCTTGGTTATATATGAAATTTGAGTCTAGCCTAAGCTACTTGAGACTCTTTCCCCAAACAACAGACACCAAATGACATCAACAATAAGAGAAAAATAACTTACTTTTCACTGGAGGGCGCATTGGAAGCAGAATCAAGGAGTCAGTTGGAAAAGAATGGGCAAGAGAGTAGAATGAATTAGTACCTTCTGTCCCTGGTACTTTCCAATTTTCCTTCATAAAATATTTTAAAAAGTGTTGGGTTCTGTTTAACTAACTTAGAGAGAAAACCAGTCTGCAGAGCTCCCGAGCTGATAAAGCTACCAGTCTTCTAGTCTCAGCCTTGCCTCTTTCTACGAACATCAGCAAAATCTAGAGCTATTTTGCATGTACACTTGCACAGGCTGAACATCTCTCATCCCAAAATGGTCCAGTCACAAGCCTCTTGAGTGCCAAAGTGATGCTCGAATAGTTTCACTTTTATTTGGTTTTACTGTTTTTCTAAGGTTTATTTCACTTCTATTTATGTGTCTATGTCTGTGCAAGCATATTCTATGTATATGCCCTTGGAAGCCAGATGGAGTTACAAGCAATTATAAGCTGCTTAGTGGGTGGAACCTAACAGATCTTCTAGGAGAACAGAAAGTGTTCCTAACAGCTGAGTCATCTCTCCAGTCTCCATCTAATTTTTAAAAAGATTTTATTTATTTATGTATGTATTTATTTTACATATATGGATGCTCTATCTGTAGATCACTTGCATGCCAGAAGAGGGCATCAAATCCCAGTATAGATGATTGTGACCCACCATATGGTTGCTGGGAATTGAACTCAGGACCTCTGGAAGAGCAGACAGTGCTCTTAACTGCTGAGCCATCTCTCCCCTGTTTTTAATTTTTGAGAAAGGGTCTTCTCATTCCTCAGACCAAGGCTATCATGCAGCTCATTTTGTAGTTGGGATCCAGCCAACCCCTCTGCCTCTGTCTCTCAAGAGCTGGAATTACAAGGGAGTCACCACTTGTCAGTTTGAGAGCTAGATGGTCAGGGTAAGAGATGCTGTAAATGTTCACAATTCTGAAAATGTCTGAAATTAGAAACACTTCCAGCCTCAGGCATTTCAATTAAAGAAAACCCAAGCTGAAGTAGACTAATGAGAAGCAGATTCTGGCTCAGTCAATCAGAAACATCCAATATACTTATGTTGTACAATCCAATATACTTATGTTGTGATGGCTTGGACCATGTAAATTAATGGAATTGCTGTGACCCACTCATCATTCTTTCTGTATTACTGTCCCTTCATCCCTTGTCTTCCAGCCTACCACCCTGTCTGCAGAGTTCCCCAAACTGCTTCTGGTTTTTCTCTGCCTAAGTTGTAAATTATTTGCTCTAGCCAACTATTTTATTGTGGTACTGGGGATTCAGTATAGTTTTATCCATGCTAAGAAAGAACTCTACTGCTGAGCAAAACCCCAGCCCATCCCTGGAGGATTCTAGGCAGGTGCTCTACTACTGAACTCTACCCTCTTTTTACTTTTTATTTTGAGACAGAATTGAGTTCATGACTATGCTGGGCAGTACAGTAAGAACTGTTTTGAAAATAAGAAGTTAAAGGCCAGGCAGTGGTGGCACTCACCTTTAATCCCAGCACTCGGGAGGGAGGTAGAGACAGGTGGATCTCTTAGAGTTTGAGGCCAGCCTGATCTACAGAGTCTACAGGACAACCAACGCTTCACAAAGGAAACCCTTTCTCAGAAACAAAACAAACCAATCAAACAAAAAAAAGAGAAAGAAAATACAAAGTTAAAAAAAGTATAGCTTTTTTTATTCTCAGGGTATAGCTCATCAGTACAGCGCTTGTCTAAAATTCCCCAGTGAGGGCCTGGGCTGTGGTTCAGTGGTAGAGTACATGCCTAGAACACATGAGGTCCTGAGTTCAATCCCAGGCAGTATGGGGCAGGGATAGGGGAGTGTTGGTGTCATAAGCTTTCACAATACTTACTTTCTTCTTCTGTCCTGTCTGGAAGGAAGAATGAATGCAGCCATGTTCAACAGAGGTACAGAGAGAGGGAGAGAGAAGAGTGGAGGTGAAGGTGGGGGTGGAAGAGGGAGGGAGAGATAAAGAGAGAGTGATTTATTAATAATTTTGCCTGACTGGTCAGAGACAAGAGATGAGAATACAATCAGATAGCAGGTAACTCAACTCTCTCAACTGACAGGGACTGGAGTCTGCAATCATTCTTTCTCCTAAAAAACATTTATGGAATAGCTATTGTATCCTGGGCATAAGCAAGGTTTGCATGAGACAATATGTACCCCAATGAAAAAATTCCATTGGTTTTCAGGAGCTTGTAGATTAGGGGGGAGTCAAAAGCCTCTGAAGTGGGTCAGAGGTGGGAGTAGTGTATTGGTCGACCTGCAGGGCATGATAGGAACTTATAAAGGGATGGATGGTGGTTGCTGACCTGGAGTGGTTACCAGGGGAGGTGTCTTGGAGGAGGATATGATGTTTTGTCTGAAACCTGAAAGATGAGCAGGGGTTACTGAGTGGAAAAGATCTTGGAAGGGAAAGGGAAAAATTACCCCAGACATGGGGAAGAGTGTTGATATTGTCCTACCTGGAAGATTGCGGCTGTAAAAGGACTGAGAGACATGATTATGGTTGGATGATGCAAAGACATGCGAGTAACTTTAAACATCCTGGACTCCATTCTAACAGCAAGGGAGGCGTTGCTAAACAAACCTGTGTTCTTGGTTCATTCGCCTCCTAGCTGTGTGACCCTCTTCTGCCCTTTTCTTATCATAAAAACAAAATCAGGAAGATTTGGAGAGATGGCTCAGCAGTTGAGAACACTGGCTGCTTTTGCCATACACTGAAGTTCTGATTCCCAGCACCCACAGGGTGGCTCACAATTTCCTGTAACTCCAGCTCCAGAGGATCTGATACCCTCTTCTGGTCCCAGTGGGCACTGCATGCACGTGTTTCGCAGACATACATGCTGGCAAAACACCCTGTACACATAAAATAAGAAGAAATACATTCAAAAGAAGAAGGAGGAGGAGAAGAAACAGTGCTTGAAAAAGACATCCAGCACTGACCTCTGGACTCCACAGTTGTATGCACTGATACAACCATGCACACACTAATGTGCACACCCGTGATCTCGTGCATATATTCACATACACACAATGGAATCATATTCAGACGTGAGATCACATCTGTGATCTTATGACTCTGGAGCAGAGGCCGATGCACTGGAAGTTCAAGAGCAGCTTGGGAATTTCTCTATCTTTGTCTCTCGTAGCCCTGACTGTCCTGGAACTCACTTTGTAGATCAGGGTGACTCTCAGAGATCTACCTGCCTCTGCTTTCCAACCATTGGTATTCAAGGTGACCCTCACCACATCTGGAGAGCTCTTCTCTCAAAAAAAAAAAAAAAGGAACAAAGTAGAACAACCGGCCTTCATAAACAGGCTTCCAGAATGAGAGATCACTGTTAAAAATTGAAGCTGTCTTGGGCAATCACACACAAACACACACACACACACAGCACAGCCCAAAAATACATAATAACATGGCATCATCTGCTCCCCCTCTTAGAGATGTCATGAGAGAAGGAAAAATCAGAGGAAGATATGAAAATCCATTAGCTCATTTAATGAGCTTAATAAGTTTTTATCTTGGTCTTTTGAGACAGCATTTCACATCCCAGCTTGATTTGTAATGGTTTCATATTGTCTGATGCATGGGACCTAGGAACTCTTTAGAGATGAATTTCCTGGCATGTCTGTGAGGGATTTTCTAGATAAGGTTAATTGATGCTGGAAGACCCACTCTAAATTTGGGCAGTATCATGTCGTGTGCTGGGGTCCCACGCTGAGTGAAAAGAAGTAAGCAAGCAGAACGCCTGTAGCCACCACTCTCTGCTTCCTGGCTGTGGATGTAATGTGACCAGCTGCTTCGACTTCCTGACACCATGGTTTCCCCACCATGCTACCCCTCCATCTGTAAGCTAAACAAACCCTTCCTTTCCTAAGCTCAGGGTATTCTGTCACAGCTATGAGAAAAGTAACAGATACAAAATTTATATTGAAAGGGCACATGTACCAATGCATGCGTGTGGAAGTCACATGATACCTTGCAAGAGTTAGTTCCCCCTTTTCACCATGTGGGTTCCAGGAACAGAACTCAGATCTTCAGACTTGCTAGCAGGCACTCTCACATTCTGACCCATCTCGCTGTTCCAAATTTCTCTCTCTCTCTCTCTCTCTCTCTCTCTCTGTGTGTGTGTGTGTGTGTGTGTGTGTGTGTGTGTGTGCATGCAAAGGCCAGAGGAGGACATTGGTGTCCTGTTCTATTTTTTTCAATCTTACTTCCACGAGACAGTCTCTCACTAAACCTGGAGCTCACTGTTTGTAGGTTGGATCTGGTAGCAAGTATTTTGTTTTATTTTTTGAGACAGGGTTTCTTTGTGTAGCCCTGGCTGTGGTGAGCTCTTTCTGTAGACCAAACTGGTCTTGAATTCAGAGATCCACCTACCTTTGCCTCCTGAGTGCTGGGAATAGAAGGGTGCGCCACCACCGCCCAGCATAAATGGTTTTTTAACTTTAAATTTAAAAGCAAATAAAGCATGGGATTGGGCAGTATGTGAGACATCTTCTAGCCTCACCCAGTCTTTATCCCTGCTTGTGAGCTGAGAACATAGATTCACACTTACCATCTGGGGACAGTCTGCTCATCAACCCTGAGGAAGAAGACAAAAAACAAATTATGTCAACCCACAGAAATCACAACATAAAGAAAATCCACAGTGAATAGACTTTCCAAGTCCATTAGACTTAACCATTTCTGGGGGAAGCGTGGCTATGGTGCCTAAGTACTGAGGCCAAGGCTATTTATGATGGCACAAGGGGGCCATAATAAGTTCAGTTTGTTTTTCTCCTTTCTTTCTTTCTTTCTTTCTTTCTTTCTTTCTTTCTTTCTTTCTTTCTTCCTTCCTTCCTTCCTTCCTTCCTTCCTTTCTTCTTTCCCTTTCCTTCTTTCTTTCTTTCTTCCTTCCTTCCTTCCTTTCTTCTTTCTCTTTCTTTCTTTCTTTCTTTCTTTCTTTCTTTCTTTCTTTCTTTCTTTCTTTCTTTCTTTCTTTCTTTCTTTCTTTCTTTCTTTCTTTCTTTCTTTCTTTCTTTCTTTCTTTCTTGATTTATTTTTTTATATATACAGTGTTCTGCCTGCCTGCCAGAAGAGGGCACCAGATCTCAATACATAGATGAGCCATTATGTGGTTGCTGGGAATTCAGGACCTTTGGAAGAGCAGCGAGAGCTCTTCTTTCCAGCCCCAAGTTTGGTTTTCTTAATGGCTTTTTGTCCCCAACAATAGGCAGTAGGTTTCCATTTCTTGGTGGCTTTTTGTCCCCAACAGTTTCCATTTCTCTGATATGTAACCCATTTTCCCTCACACCAGGTGGATCTCTCTGAGTCTGTAACACCCCAAGAGCAAAGGAAGTTGGGACACACGCTTTAACCCCAGCCAGTCAGCCAGTCAGATATTTCTGCACTTGTGGACATAGACAGAAACTCCTGCTACAGAGGGGACACATAAACAACTTCAGACCAATGGAAAACAGGAGGACAGAAGGAGAATCACCAGGTGGGACACCCTAAACCCAAACAAAACCCCAAACCTTCTTAGAGATGGTGGGCGCCTCAGGGTAACTTATCTACCTAACAAATCTGCAATATTTGCCATTAAACTTTCACAATGTGCCAAGCTGTTTTCCTTCTCTAACTAATGGAGAAAGGAACCCACCCACCAAGCAGTATCACCAGCACTTGCAGCAGCGGCTCTCAATGTGTAGGTCATGATCCCACAAGGGTCACATATCATATATCCTGCAAATCATATATTTACATTATGATTTATAATAGTAGCAAAGTTACAGTTATGAAGTAGCAATGAAATAATTTTATCGTTGCGGGTCACTACAGCATGAGGAACTGTTTTAAAGAATTGCAGCATTAGAAAGGTTGAGAACCACTGATTTATTTAGAGTTTCCTTAACAGTCTCTCAACCCTTTGTCCCAGATCAGTCATATAAAACATCATTTGCCTTCAGTGTGGTATGACTATCAAGTCAGTAAGCAATTTCATCATTGTGCAGATATAGAATGGACTTCCTCAAACTGATATGCTTATGGCAATCAGTATGTAGAATTAGGGTCTGCCAGAGTGTGTGCAGCTCATCACTGAAAGAGTATGTGACCCAACAACTAGCTGTTATGCAGTACATGATCCCACTAGATTCTGAATTTGTTCCATCTTTGGGGTTCCATCATCACGCTAAAAACTTACCAATTTTCTATGTGTATGTGTATGCTCAGCTGTATGTAGATGCACATGTGTATGTATTGGGGTGAAATGTCAACCTCAAATGTTGTTTGAGGAGCCACTATCTTGTGGGTTTTTTTTCTCTAAGATTTAATTTTTAATTATGTGTATGAGTGTGGGCAGGCACATGTGACTGCAGTGCCTTCAGAGACCAGAAGAGGGAGGCAGATCCCTTGAAGCTGGACAGTATGGGCAACTGGATATGGCTGTTGGGAACTGAGCTCTGATCCTTTGGAAGAGCAGTAGATGTTCCGAGCCACGGAGCCAGCTCTCTAGCCCCTGCCCTGTTCTTTATCTTAAAAGTGAGGAGTTACTTGTACCACAGGGCATGCATGGAGGGCAGAGAATAACTTGATGGTGTTGGTTCTCTCCTTTTACCCCGTGTGTCTCAGAAATGAAGTCAGGCCATCAAGCAGCAAACACTTACCTCCTGAACCCTCTTGTCAGCCCCGTTTAAAACTGCACATGTGACTATTACAAATAAAGCTGCAATGAGCATGGTTGAGAAAGGGCCCTCGTGGTAGGATGGGGTAACCTCTGGGGTACATTCCCAAGAGTGGTATATATAGCTGGTCTTGATGTAGATTGATTCCCAATTTTCTGAGGGACCACCATATTTCAGCCTTATTTTAAATAGCCATAAACTGGAAACAACCTAGATGTCCCCCTAACCAAAGAATAGATAAAGGAAATGTGGTAAATAAATAACAAAATTACACAATGGTATATGACTCAGCTATTAAAAACGACATCATGAAATTTGCAGGCAAATTAATGAAACTAGAAACAATCATCCTGAGTGAGGTAACCCAGACCCAGAAAGATAAACATGGATCCCCCTGGAAAGAGAAAATAGAAAAGATTTTACAGGTGGACTTGGGGCAAGTGGGGATGAGAACTGGTGGGGTCAGGTGGGATACGGTAGAAGGTATGGAAGGAGAGAAAGCATTTTGGGGTGATGTAGAAACCTAGTGCAGGAAGCCCTCTGTAGTCCATGGCAGTGACCCTAGAGAAGCCTCCTAGTAATGGGAGATACAGAGCCCAAATTTGTTCTCTTCTATAATCAGACAAGGATCCTACCAGTGGGCCTGGGACATCAACCCAGGCACAAAACCTTGAACCTACAATCTGCCTGCCGCAAGATGAGCTGGGGCAGTGGTGGCACAGAGGGAGTGGCCGGCCCATGACTGGTCCAACTTATGGCCCACGCCACGAAATGCAGCCCATGTCTCACACTGTCTGGGTGGCCAAGAGCCAGAGGCTGGTTAGCCCAGACACCTAGAGTAGAGCCAAATATGACTGGCAAAAAAATGGCAGTGAACTGGTCCCTAATAATATTCTTCTATACTCATAGATTGGTACAGTCCAATCCCGGAGAGGCATTATCCAGAAACTGATAAGAGCAAATGCAGAGACCCACAGTCCAACATTAGGCAGAGACAAGGTAATCCCATAGAAGAGGGGGAGGAAGGGTTATAGGAACCAGAGGGGTCAAGGACACCAAAGAGCACAGCCTAAAGAATCAATTAACCTGGGCTCATAGGGGCTCACAGAGACTGGAGAGACAAGCATGGAGGCTGCATGGGTCTGAGCTAGGTCCTTTGTGTATGTTATTGTTGTGTAGCTTGGTGTTCCTGTAAGACCCCTAACAATGAAAATGAGGTGGGGGAGCTTTCTCTGACTCCTTTGTGTGCTTGGGACCTTTTTCTCCTACTGGGTTGCCAAGCCTTGATGTGAGGGTTTGTGTCCAGTGTTATTGTTTATTGTTAGGCCATGTTGAATGGATATCTTGCTCTTTTTTTTTTTTTAAGGGAACAGAGGAGGGGTTATCTGGGAGAAGGGAAAGGAGGGGGGACTGGGACAAATGGAGGAAGGGGAAACTCAGGTAGGATATAATGTATGAGATGAGGATAAAAATTTTTAAAATATGCATGTGTTTGTGTTTGTGTGTGTGTATGTGTGTACACATACCAGGGTGCATGTATGGAGATCAAAAGCCAATCTTGAGTGCAGTCCATAATTTTTAATTGTTTTGAGAGAGAGTTTTTCAAGCCTGTAGTCCTGGAACCTATTTAGATGAGGCTGGCCTCTGTGGAGCAAGTGAGCCATGAGCTGTGGGAGTCTGGGAACTGACCTGGAGCAAGAGTGAGATTGTGTCCCACTCCTGAAAAATCTCATTTTGAGACCAGCAGGAGTAAGATCACTCCCTTCCTGTTCTGAGCATGCATGCCTTGCACAAAGCCTTTCGACCCCTACCTCTGCCAACCTTGAGGTAGTCACATAGCCTGGAGGACAGGTTTCAGGACATGTCCAGCTGGCACTTTGGCATTTCTCTTCATGCAAATGAAGCATTTCCAGCACCTCAGCTCCAGCCAATGGTGTACAGTCAAACAAAAAACTCCTACTCACTTCCCCAAGGTTTATATAGCCCTTATTCCCCCAAATAAAGAGAGCAGTTTCACTAAAAACCTCTCAGAAAAGGTTGTTTCTCCCACAGTCAGCAAGGACCAAGACCCTGCTAAGTCACCTGCCTGGTTAGGCTTCTTTCCTTCCAGCACCAGTGTGCAGTGCTGTCTGGATGCCCTGAGGCCAGAAGACAACCCAGTATGGCAGGCCCAGAACTCAAAGAGACCCTGTGTCTGCCTCCTGAGTGCTGGGATTACAGGTATGCACCATACTACAACTGTCTTCCAGAGCGCAAATTCTTGCTCAATGTTTTCCATCGAACTTCCCAGTCCATGACATCTGTCAGTGTGACTCAGACACTTACCCACAATTCCTGATGGTATCGGAACCAGACGAGGTGACATGGAGGTCGAGATTACAGATGACGCACAGAATGTTGAGTCAGATGCATCATAGACACAAAGCCATAATTAGAAAACCAAAAACAAGGTCAGACTCTGGGGGTCTGGGAACATGTTGGAAAATGAAATCTATAATGGTTCGTGGTGCGTAGTTAGGGATGAAGCCCCAGGTTTCATGAGATTCCCAAGAGTCCCTTTGCAACAGATTTGGGGGAGGAGTCAGTGAGCTGAGAATGGCAGTCAAACAGCTTGTCCATAGCTATGCTGGAAGGAGAAGAAAGGCTGCTCTTTGCTGACACTGGACAGAGTTACCAGGCTTGTTTCAGTTTGATCTGGGGATCCCTAATCTCCACCTTCTGAGGTCAAGATTACATGTGGGATACCATGCTCACTGGCATTTATTATGGGCTTTGGGAATCCGAGCTCATCTTCTAATGCTTCCGGTAAACAAGTGCACTAACCACTGAACAATCTTTCCAGCCCATGTGACTTTTTCTATCTGAATGTGTCTGGTCAAATTAGATCCAGGGCTTATCTAAAGTTTTCTCTCTGGCCAATTTGCTTTTGTTTCTTTCTCATTCTGAAGCTTGTATAAGCCATTAAACAAGGAAGGCATTTTTAGGGACAAACACTTTCAAAGTGTTCTTTCACTTTTCAGTGAAAATTTTGTGATTAGTCAGACGTGGTAGTGCACACCATTAATCTCAATACTTGGCAGAGACAGGTGGATCTCTGTGAGTTCAAAGCCAGCTTGAGCTATATAGTGGGCTCCAGGCCAGTCAGGGCTATATACTGAGACCCTGTCTCAAAAAACAAAACAAAGCAAAGAAAATTTCATTATTAAAGATGAACTATAGAAGGCTTCCAGTCTACTGTCTTTATGATGCAAACAGAACATGTGCAGAGATGTTCCTATCAGTAATCTTAAAAGCACAAGCTGAGCCTGCTTGTGTTTTTAAGATTTCTTTCTACCATGTTTGTGACTCAAAATGGACATGCACAGATGTATCCTTGGCTGCCATCTTTAACTTTTCTAACATGACCTTAAGCTAAACATGCCCAAAATGGTCTTTCATGGTCCCTTCCTTAGAAAGGACCTTCAACTAAGCATTCTGGGGATTATACCTTCCATTAAGTGCTTTTCTATTTGACTATGCATGGACTTCTTTGTTGGAGGAGGGCACCACTCAGGAAATCACTATTGGCTCTCCTTGCCTACTGCAGGTAATAATTCTTTCTCTACTCTTTTGTTTCTCAGCTGAGTTTGCTTTGAACTCACTCTCACCAAGATGCAAGCCAGTTATATATGGACTAATGGAAAAAAAAAACATTAAATTCTGGGGAATGGGTGGAAGAGTAGTGCTTGAGTTCTATCAAAAGAGGTAGTCTAGATGCTTATAGTGTGCAGGCGATTCTGCTGGCCTACCCTCAAGGATCTAGTAATTGCTTACGCCCTCACCTGCCCCCTTGCTCAGGTGTGTGTGTGGATCAATAAAAGGACCTCCAGCCACCCCCAGCTCCTTCTTCTCTGTTCCTATGCTCTCTCTCTCTCTCTCTCTCTCTCTCTCATTCATTCCCTTTCCCTCTCTCTCCCCCTTTTCTTCCCTCCTCATGGACTGCCTCTACTCTTTCCCAGGTCCTCATTCCTTTCCCTTCCCCCAGTAAATCTCCTTTATGACAGATCTACTGCATGGCGTAATTTCTTAGGGGCACAACTTGGCATGGCATCCCCTTGACACATTATATTTCATAACACTAGCTACTTGATTTCTCTTCAGTACCTAGATTAGAAGCAGGGCTATGGACACAGGAAAATAAATGCTGATTTAAAGTCAGCTGATATTGTTTCTAGAACATTTCTAGGCAACTAGTATAGATGGGGAAGAAACTACAGAGAGATTTTTACCTTTCAGCACTGTAGATACACAAGCATCAGGAAGGATGAGCCAGGACCAATGGGAGCGTTTGTCCAACCAAAGTTGAGAAGGAATATGGAATCAATTAAGTCGTCCTTTATGCATCAGTGCACTCCGAAGATCCCCAAATAGGGTAAGGAAAGAGAATGGAGAGCTTTGACATAGCCTCTGGTTCCTCCATCTCTTTGAAGATACATTTATTCCAGAAGTGAGAGCTTATGGGTACAAGTTACCTGGGGAATGTGAACCCTCCCTGTTCTGCTTGACTTCTGGGAGATTAGTAGAATATGGGCTCCATAACAACCAACTGTTACCTTCTGTGCTCACCTGGAGGGCAGAATGCTCACTTCTTAGCAAAGAAGAAAACCTCTCTATCCTGAAGCTCACCAGTGAAGACAGAGGCCACCCTGACTATACAGAGTGGGGTTCCCAACTGGGTCAGCTCATTATCTTACTGACATTAATATCAAACCATAGTCATGAAAACCAACAAAGACCCTTTCTTCCTCTCTTGCAAGCACCATTCCTATAGGAGCTGAGAGGATGGCTGGCCTTGAAGTCTATCCCATCCCCACCTCATGACCTTCAGACCTAGATTGAATGTCCATGTTCAAGTTGAGTGTTCTCTGAGTCTGCTCCCACAGAATGTGATGGTCTGATGTTTGCCCCTTTCTTTTGTCTCCCTGAGTAGAACCCACCCCTACTCCAACTCTTGTTCATTATATAGAGAAGAATTGTGACTTACATTTGACTGGAAGAGGAGCCAAAACCAGGACCCAGTGAGTCAGCATGAAAAATAGAGGCAAAGAAGAGGGTAGGGTTAATATAAATGCAAACTACCTAAGTCTCCCCAAGTATTTTTTGTTTCCTCATGGCATGGTTGCATGCCCATTGTTATACAGCAAGGGGCTTTTATCCAGTGGTAACACTGCCAAAAGTGTCCAGAATCCTCTGATGTTTGAATAAGAATGACCCTACAAGCTAATATATTTGAATACTTGATCACTCAAGGAGTGGTACTATTAGGAGGTGTGGCTTTGTTGGAGGATGTGTGTCACTAAGGGGTGGGCTTTGAGGTTTCACATGCTCAAGCCAGGCCCAGTGTCTTGCTCCTCCTGCTGCCTGCTGATCTAAATGTAGAAATCTTAGCTACCTCTCCAACCATGTCCACCTGTGTGCTGCCATGCTTCCTGCCACGTAGGTAATGGGCTAAACCTCTGAACTGTAAGCCTGTCCCAATTAAATGATTTCCTATATAAGAGTTGCTGCATTCATTGAGTCTCTTCACAGCAGTAGAACACTGACTAAGATGCCTTCTTTAGTGTTGTGGTTTTAAAATTAGCTTTACATATATAGGTATATGTATATACATATATGTGACCTAGTGACAAACAGATACATAACTATACAGATACAGAGCTACATTCACACAGTCGGCTCTCAGTATGCATCTCTCATTCATTATCAGGCTGCTCAGGCTCTGCATCCATTTACTAGACTAACCAGAAACAATTTCTTGCACTTTTATAACTCTGTTTGATTATCAATAGTTAGTTCTTACAATAAATATTTTAAAAATATTTTTAAGAGTGCCAATCATAGTAATTTATATCTACAATCTCTGCACTTGGTAGGCTGAAGAAGGATGATTACCACAATTTCGAGGCCAGTGTAGGCTATAGAATAAGACTTTCTTTTGAAAAATAATGGGCTGATGAGATGCCTTAGTGGGTAAACAGTGCAAACCTGAAGACTAGAGTTTGATGCCTGGAATCTATAAAAGGTAGAAGAAGAGAACCAACTCTGCTGGTTCAGAGTTGCCCTCTGTTCCATTTTTTTCTCACATTTTTGAGATATTTATTTATTTATTGGGTTTTTTTTTTCAAGACAGGGTTTCTCTGTGTAGCCTTGGCTGCCCTGGACTTGCTTTGTAGACTAGGCTGGCCTAGAACTCAGGGAGATCCACCTCTCTCTGCCTCCCAAAGTGATGGGATTATAGGTGTGTGTCACCACACTTGGCTTTTTATTTATTTTTATTTTATGTATATGGGTGCTTTGCCTGTATGTCTTTCTATACACACTTTGATGCAGTGCCCTCAGATGCAAAAAGAGGACATCAGATTCCCTGGAACTGGAATTATAGATGGTCATGAGCCCCCACGTGGGTGCTGGGAACCAAGCCTGAGTCCTAAGGAACAGTCAGTACTTATAACCACTGGGCCATCTCTCCAGTCACTAACCTCTACATTTTAGCAAAATCTTTATTAATTTTTATTTTATGTGTATAAGTGTTTTACGGGTATGTATATAAGTGCATTGCATGTGTACCTCATGCCCTTGAAGGCCAGGAGATGTGCTCCCCACACAATTATGATGAATAAGATAAAATAAATTGCAGAGGATACCTTGTAGGAGTTGGTTTTCTTCTTCCACAGTGGGTCCTTGGGGGGGGGGGTTGAACTCAGGCTGCCAGGCTTGGTGGCAAGGGTCTTAGCCCACTGAGCCATCAAGCTGGGTTCAGAAGTGAATATATGGGCCTCTTCCCAAGAGAGTCAGAGAAAGAATGGCTCAGTGTGGGGCTTCAGAACCTGGATCTGACAACGCAATTGCATGATTTGTTTGAAGTGCTCAAGGCATGCTAAGTACCTAATGCCTGTTGGTTCCTTTTCTCTATGTTCAGTCAAAAATAATAGCATTACCTTATATTTGCACAGAAAAGTCCTTTCCAATTATTCAGTCCAGCTAAATACTAGGAATTTTCCTAGGCCATAGGAATAAAGATAGGGGTCCAGGCTTTCTGAGAACTCACAATCTCAGAGACTTTTCTCTCTTCCATGTGTCACCAAGAAATAATTCTCAAAGGACCAGCCAAGGATCATTGAGTCATTCCTGGGACTTTTCACAGATGTGATAGTTGACTGAATTAAGGGACACTTGGGTAGCTGGAAAAGCATTATTTAATCTCTGTCTTAATGTTTCCATTGCTGTGAAGAGACTCCATGACCATGGCAATGCTTATAAAAGAAAGCATTTAATTGGGTCTGGCTTACAGTTTCAGAGGTTTAGTCCACTATCATCATGGCAAGAGAAATGGTGGTGTACAGGCAGACATGGTGCAGGAGAGATAGCTTAGACTCTTACATCTTGATCCACAGGCAGCAGAAGGAGACTGTGTACCACACTGGACATAGCTTGAGCATAGAAGACCTCAAAGCCCACCCCAATAGTGACACACGTCCTCCAACAAGACCACACCTACTCCAAAAAGGCCACACATCCTAATAGTGCCAAGCATTCAAACACATGAGTCTATGGAGGTCATTCCTAGTCAAACCACCATAATCTTATCATTGCATCAGTGGCTCATGGTGTGTCAGCAGCACCAGTCCTTCCTCTTCTTCTGAAACAGAAGCTTATGTGGTTTGGCACTTGCTTCAAAAAATTATGTGGCCCCAGAGTGTCAGAAGGGGTGTATGCTGTTTAGCAGGCTGGAGAAGGAAGGGGGGAAATCCTTGCTCTCTTACAACTGTAATGTTCTTCATCTCCTACCTTTGGAAATTTAAACTCTAGTAGGTTCTGCACCTTTGAGCCTCCAGGGTTGATGTCAGTGGCTCCCTGGGCCCATGGGCCTTCACCTTGGACTAAGAATTATATCACTGGTGTCTTTGTTTCTGAAGCTTCAGGTTTAGACTGAGCCAAACTACCTTCCTGGTTCTCTAGCTTGGGATGGTCTGTTGTGTGCCTTCCCAGCCTTCACAATAAATCCTTTCCCACCTGTCTTCTATTCTATTATAGAATATTTTAGAATATTCTATATATTTTATTTCTTATCAATTCTGCCTCCACCTGATATTACAGACATATTTCATCATGACTGGCAGCTGCTTACTTTTTAATCGTTATTTTATCATCCTCAAGCCAAGATTTTATAACTGATTGAAGCTCCACCCTTCCTCAGGATTCCCACAGGATTCTCCACACCCAACATAATCTAAAAGGAACCATCTATGAGAGCACAAACATGAGATATCTACAGTTCTTACTTTTTTCTTCCATTGCAACTGGAGGCGAAAGCATCATTCATGTGGATTCCATCAGGACCAGGAAGCAGGTGCAAGGAGAGAATTAGACAAAGACTCAGATCACTACAATCATCTAGACCACCACAGCTGTCATGTCTTTGGAGTCTAGCTAATACACACAGATTATGTCAAAGTTTCTCAGGTTCATTCATTTGCTCATACACACACACACCTGTCTATTCATCTATTATCATCTGTCTATCACCCATCTGCTTATCTATCCATCAATGTACCTATCATCTACCAATCAATTCCCGACTTACTCATCTACCCATACATTGTATACCTAGCCATCATCCATCACCCATTCTATTATTCACCTATTCACTCATCTGTCTATTCATCTGCATCTACTCATATACCCATAAATCTATCCAGTATACATTTCCATTCATTCATCCATTCATATATCTATCCATTCATCAACAACTGTTCATCATTCGTCCATCCATCCTTTGATCCATCTACCCACATATATATTTCATCAACTTTCCATATGCTCACCCACCCATAAATATATCCATTATCCATTGATATATATTTCTACCCACCCATCTGTTCATAGATCTGTTCATCCATCCACTCACCATACACTTGTCCATCATTCATCTACCCATTTATCCATCCATCCACCCATTCACCACATATTTGTCCATCATCCATCCACTTATTCTTATACTCATTTACTTAACCCACTATCCACTTAAACAACTGTACATCAACTTAACCACCCATAAACTTACTCATTATCCATCCATGCATCCTTCCATATACCCACTCATTCTTCTTTCCTTTCCTCCATCCATCTATCACTGCACATCTATCATTTACCTGTCTATCATATACCTATTCTTCTCTCCATCTACCCATCCAACATTCTCTTGGTTCATTCTCTGATCTATGCATAAGGATTAGGAGGCACATATAAACTGGGCTCTGCTCTGTTCTGTAGACATATGCTAAGCTGATTGGAGAAGAGTTACTGATAGAGGAGTAAACAAAATATTCTATGTGGTTTTCTTCTGGAACTAGCAACATGTGGATGCCTCAAACATTTACAGGTACTACAGTTTTAGTATGTCTAGAATAGAAGCTGTGATTGTCCACATCCCACCCATCAAAAGATGATTGATACATAGATATATATGAATCCACATCGATGTAAACATTCAAATAAATCAATCTCTTCTTTTCATTTTTAATTTTTACTTTATTTTCAATCATGTGTCTTGTGGAGGGGTATGTACACATGAGTGAGGGTGCTTGCAGAGGTCAGAGCCATCAGATTGCCAGAGTTACAGGTCCTTGTGAGCTGCCCAGTGTGAGTGCTGGGAACCAACCCGAGTTTCTCTGCAAGATCAGTATGTACTCTTAATGACTGATCCATCTCCCAAGCCCAGTGAATCTCTTACTTAGGAATTTCAATTAGTATGTATAGAAGGGATAAAGAGAACAGAAAATTTCTGTTGGATAGACACTGCTACTGTAGTGTCTCTTTTAAGGTAAGATCTACAGATGGCTGTTAAAATAGATTGGCCAACGTGAAAAGAAAAAGAGTACATATGTATAGTCTCACTATCTCCCCCATATATTTATCAATTACAAGAAGGTAAATAGAAACAGGCAGTGGAGAAAACTGATAGACAACATTCTTAATGAAGAGATCATCATAACATTATAGGTAAGATAACATCATAGGTAAGAGACAAACCATCATCAATTGCTTTGCTATAATTCATTCACTGAAGGAACTGAGGGTGGCAGGGGTGGTTCCATTTTGTTTCTCAGACTCTATCTTAAGTTGACTGACCTTGGACTGACTTGACCCCTACCTTTGGGTTCTGTTCCGAGAAGGGCCACATGGCCCTCTACCCTGCAGGTTGTTGTGAATACCACAGAATGTGTAAATAGATAACTATAATCAGGCCTCCACCCCACAGGTTGTCAGATTGTCATAAATGCCACAGAATGTGTTAGTGGATCCTCCACTCCACCCAGCAGGCTATCTTAGATATCTGTCGGTTTGGCCAGGTGGCTTGGAACAATTAACCTAAAGGTCATCTCGATTGCTGAACCCCCCACCCCAAACTTACCCTTCCATGTAATGCCAAGGCTTGGAATTCCCTGCTTGCTGTTTTTCCCTTTAAAAACTCTGCCTCCCTGAGACTCGGGGCCTCACTTTCTAACCTGTTATGTCAGGGAAGATTGGCGGCCTGAGCTTAAGCTTGAATAAAGATCCTCGTGTGAGTTGCAATGGACTCGACTCCTAGTGGTCTTTTGGGGTCTCTTGAATCATGCACAACACTGTGAAGGAGCAGTGTGATTTTGATGTATTCTTGCCCCAAATGCATAATCTCAGTCTAATCATGGGGAAAACTCAGAGAAACTCAGTCTAGGAGACATTCTGAGACTAACTGACCAGACTCATTTAAATGTTTGAAATTCATGAGAGACAGGAAAAGACTGATGATACAGAAGAATACAGGAAGGTGAGATGCCTCAGCAAGTAAAGCTACTGTCCCCCCCAAAGCCTGATGGTCTGAGTTTGATCTCTGGATTCATATGGTGGAAGGAGAGAACCAACACCTAGCTGTTGTCTTCTGACCTTCACATGCACACAATACATGCACAAATAAACAAGTAAACAAACAAACAAATAAATAAAATACAATTTTTAAAATAGGAAAAGAATAGAAAGGAAGGAAAGAAGGAAGGAAGAGGAAACGGAGGAAGAAGAATGTGAGGAGGCAACCATATCCTTCATATGACTCCAATTACCTGTATATTCTGGTTCCCACAGTCTCTCTATTCTACCATTATACCCTCATTCTATCTGCCATCTTTCTGCCATACTGACTGTCCTTAGAGCCTTGAAGGAACTCAGTGTCTTTTAGCTCAATATCTTTTTGCAATGCAGTCCAGTCTACCTGAAACAATCTCTCATCCTTTAGCTGGCTAGCTCTTGCTTCTTATTAAGGTCTGGTCTTAAAAAGTCACCTTTCCAGAATGGTCTTACCTAAAGCCTGCTACTGGGATGTGATCATCTGTTTATCATGAGAATCACATCAAAATGGAGCTATACCTGCCTTTCTGTGATTCTATTTCCAACACTGAGTACAAACTAAAACTTGAAAGTATTGCAGATCTAATAGGGGAAAGAGTAGTGCAGTTTCGTAACAGGACTAAAGTCACTCCAGTGTAGACTTTGGCATCTTTACACTGTAAAAGACTGGCATCCATCTCATTAGCACACTGGCTAAAGGGATGGTGACTTCTAGAAGTGCACAAATGGGACCTCTGCAAAGACACAAAGCAGTTCAGGGAATTCTGTGACTCTGAGGAGCAGATGAGAACGAGATGCTAACTGACACAGGTGGTCTCTCTCTCTCTCTCTCTCTCATGGTGAAAAGGCACTGCTGAAAAACAGTATGTCCATCTCCTTGGAAATGTCACTCACAAGGGACAGATGAAGCTACTAGGGTCTTCAGAGCAGGCCCACCAACACAAGATTTACTAAGATACCAATACCTCCAAAGGCAAATTCACCAGCATGAGGCTCATGTAGCCACTAGTACTTCCAAGGGAAAGGCCACCAACAAGAAACTCATGAAGGTACCAGTACCTCTAAATTCAGGACCAACAATCCAGGACTCATGAAGCTATCTCCATAAGGGAAAAGATAATGGACTGTCTACCCCCAATGTAAGGAAGCCTCTGATATACTTCTGAATTGTTGATCGAATCTAGCCTCCATGGCCTCCCCTTCCTAAGATGCCATGGAGAATGATATGAGGAGTGGGTGGAAGCTTTACCTTGACGAGGAACACAGGTCTCCGTCAGGCCCAGGAAAAGGAGGATCACCAGGGACCTCTTCAGAAATGGCTCCAGGCTGGACATAGTGGGGCCTGGACAGTGTCTCTGGTGTTCTCTATCCAGGTTCAGTCACTCTGACCATTCACTCTTCTCATAGGCTCTCAAGGTAAACTTCACTGCCCACATATGCCCTCCAGCTATCTGGAGGCAGCCATCTGGTGAGACCCATGCCCACGCCAACAGCAGCTGGCAACTGCCCCTTCCCACTGGCACCTGCTTTTTTTTTTTTTTTTTTTTTAGCAATACTCTATGGTAATTATGCTATACCCACTTACTTGTTTTCCAGTGACTCAAACACAACATCTTGTTTGATGAAATCCATGGCTAACAGTGATTTTTGCATTTTAAGTTAAATTTTTTTTTTTTAGTTTTAAAATCTCTTTCTCTTTGTGTGTCTCTCTCTGCCTCTCTGTGTGTCTATGTATGTATGTGTCTCGTGTGTGTGTGTGTGTGTGTGTGTGTGTGTGTGTCCTGGAGTTGAAGTTCTGAACATTTAATAGCCACCCAGCATGGGTCCTGGGAACTGAACTCCAGTCCTCTGCAACAGCAATAAATGCTCTGCTTATCTCAAGCTCTTATTGATGTTGTTTATTTTTTTCTTATATTTTTATTTTATATGTGTGGGTGTCTTGCCTACGTGTATATATGCATCTGGCACATTCAGGGCCCTCAAAAGCCAGAAGAGTGTGTCAGACCCCTGGAACCAGAGTTTGGATGATCGTGAGCCACCATGTGAGTGCTGGGAATCAAAGCTCGTCCTCTGGAAGAGCAGCCAGTGGTCTTAACCACTGATCCATCTCTCCAGCCCTACTAGGTTTGTTGGTGGTGGTGTTTTGAGACAGAATCTCATTTTGTGTTCTGGGCTAGACTTGAATCCATAGTGATCCTCCTGTCTCAGTGCCCCAAGTTTTGGAATTATAGTCATGTGCTACCACACCTAAAACCTTTGTTGTTATTGTTTATTGAGGCAAGTATCACATTGCACAGCCTAGCCTGGAATTTACTGTGTCATTGAGAATGACCTTAAGCTTCTGGCCCTTCTGCCCATGTCTCTCCAGTGTTGGAATGACAAGTGTCACCACCACACCCAGGCAAGCAACTAAGCATGCAGTCAGCTAAACTGCCCCTGGTCCCCTGTTTCTGTTTTACACTTACTTATTTGTTTCCTTGTTTTGAACGGTGTTGTGGGTGTGTGCACATGTTGGCAAAGGCACATGGATGGAGGTCAGGAGACAACTTGATGGAGTTGGTTCTCTCCTACCATGTGTGTCTCAGTAATCAAACTCAGGTTATCAGTCTTAGCAGCAAACACCTTTGCCTGCCTTGCCGTCTTCTAGGTTCTTGTTTGGGTTTACTTTTAAAACAGGTCCTTGCTTTGTAGTCCAGACTAACCTTGAATTTAAGATTCTCCTTTCTCAGCCTCCCATTTTCTTAGATGATGTGAAAAATAATTATAATGGAATCCTCTTGATGAGGAACAGATATGTTTAGGTCAGATGGACTGGGAGGTGATGCAAGCATCTCTGAAAACCACAGCAGAGCTGAGCATGGGAGCTTATGTTTGCAGTCCATCAATTGGGAGGGTAAGGCAGGAGGATCATAAGTTCCCAAGTTCCAGACCAATGAGACCTGTGTAGTGGGAACCTTGGGAGAGGGAGGAGGGAAGGGAGAGAGAGAGAGAGAGAGAGAGAGAGAGAGAGAGGGTGGTAGCCTGTCATAGTGACATATACATTTAATCCCAGAACTCAGGAGGCAGAGGCAGGAGGATATCTATGAGTTTGAGGCCTGCCTGATCTACATAATGAGTTCCAGGACAGCCAGAGCTACTTACTGAGACCTTATCTCTAAAAAACCAAGAGAGAGGGGAGAGAGGTATAATCCCAGGACTCAGAAGGATCAGAAGTTGAAAGTTACCCTTGACTACATAATAAGTTTGAGCTACATGAAATATGTATCAGATGGAAAATAAGGAAGGAAAGAAGGGAGTGAAGGAGGAATAGAGAGAGATGAGGAAAGAGACCTTAGCAGCGGCGCCTGTCTGTCATTCCCACCAGCCGTGAGGTCTTCAAAGGCAAGGACTCTTTTCTCTCTCTACCCCTGATGCCAACACAACACCTGCTACACAAAAGAAACTTGGTAGTTACTGAAAACTCCCTGAGGGTCCCAAATGTTAGTCGTGGGAAAGGTGGGACTGACTGATTTCAAATTCTCTCTGTTTTCCTGTCTTAGGATGGGACTGGTTAAGTTTGCTTCCTGTTGCTGTGATAAAACAGACTGAAAACAACTTGACAAGGAAACTGTTTATTGGGCCTGCAGGTTATGGATCTCAAAGATCTGAGAGAAAACAGGGCGGCAGCTTAAGGCTGGAACCTGGAGGCAGGAACTGAAGCAAAGACTGTGAAGGAACGCTACTTACTGGCTTGCGCCCTGTGGCTTGCTCAGCCCGCTTTCTTATCTACTCAAGACCATATGCCCGGGGATAGCACTGCCCACAGTGGCCTGTTTCCTCTCTCATCAAGCACTAATCAAGAAAATGTCCCTCATAGATTTGCCTACAGGCCAATATGATGAAGACATTCACAACTAAGGGTCTCCCTTCCCAGGTAACTCCAGTTTTTGTCCAGTTGACGAGAAAACCAACCAGCACAAGTGCTAAGGGTCAGGCGAAAAGGGAGTTCTGGGAAGCTGCCAAGGGCTTACAGAGTCTCCCTGGGGCTCTGTCTCAGAACAGGCAGTTATGGCAGGCAAGAGACAGGTGTCAATGGTGCAGAAGCCCTTCAACCCATTGGGAACGAGCACCTAGGTTCTGCTATCATTGATCCATGTCGTGCTGGCAGCACACTGTGGTCCCAGTCTGGCAAGTCAATGTTCTGTGTCCTCCCTCGGGTTCATCTCCAGCAACCCCTTTATTCTTTCATCCCTAGGCAGTCTTCTGTTCTTGGAATTCTAATGCCTCTCCAATGCCTTACTCCTATTTACTGATACCCTGTTCAAACTTGGGAACCTGTCCTTTTCTTTCTTTAGTCCTTTCACAGATCAGTTCTTCCAGCACCTGAGGCAAAGCTCAGTCCATATTCTGAACATTGGGCTAATGAGATCCTCTCCAAACCAAGCCAGGGTGTTCATGACACTGTCTCAAAAGAAGAGAGAGGGGAGACAGAAAGGGAGAGAAGGGTAGAAGAGAAGGAAAAGGAGAGGACAGGGGGAATGGAAAGGCAGGACAAGGAAGGATGAAAAAGAAGGAAAGCAGAGAGGGAGAGGAAGAAACCTCTCTATTTGCTGACTGAGTGACATTCCCTCACCCCTAAACCAGGGTATCCCATTGTCCTCACATGTCCCTGGACACCTAATGTCCTCTGCTGACAAGCTCTCCATCTCTGGTCTCCTTTCCATTTTGAGTCTCCAATTAGGGCAGTGGTTCTCAACCTTCCTAATGCTGCAACCCTTTAATACAGTTTCTCATGTTGTGGTGACTGCCCCCAACCATAAAATTATTTTTGTTGCTATTTCATAGCTGTAATTTTGTTACTGTTATGGATCTTAAGGTAAATTTATGACATGCAGGATATCTGATATGCAACCCCCAAAGTGTTTGAGACCCACAGGTTGAGAACCTATGTTCTAGGGGATTTCTCACAACCACTTTGCTTTTCTTTGCCACCGTCTGAGATAGCAACTCCACCACAAATTCTAATCTTCCATCTCTCCAGTGACATCAGATTCTTGTTCTGCACCACTACCCTTGCCATGCTCAGGACACCAGCATCAAGACAATGGCTGTGTGCACAGTGTCCTTTCAGGGTGAGTCCCCTACCATTCCTGGTCTTGGCAACCAGGGCCCATCACATCAGTCCTCATCAGAATTTCTTTTTCTTTTCTTTTCTCTCTTCTCTTTTCTTCTTCTCTTCTTTTCCTGCATTTCTTTTTTTCTGTTTTGTTTTTTTGAGACAGGTTTTCTCTGTGTAGCCTTGGCTGTCCTGGACTCACTTTGTAAACCAGGCTGACCTTGAACTCACAGTGATCTGCCTGCCTCTGCCTCCCTGAGTGCTGGGATTAAAGGCATAAGCTACCACACTGGTTTTGTTTTGTTTTTTTTTCAACACAGGGTGTCACCGTGTAGCCCTGGCTGTCCTGGAACTTTCTCTGTAGCCCAGGCTGGCCTCAAACTCAGAGATCTGCCTGTCTGTGAAAGGATTAAAGGTGTGTGCCACCACTAACTGGCTGATTTATTTTACTTTTAACTGGGACATAATTGCCCATGTGTCTGAAGCTAGCCTTGAACTCACCATGTAGTATTTAAGGATCCTTCTGCCTCTGCCTCATAAGTGCTGGAATTGCAGATATGTGTGACCAAGAGTGGTCTGTGTGGTGTTGGGTATTGAACTCAGGGCTTTGTGCACACTAAGCAACCACTGTATCAACCCCTAGTCCTAGGATGACTTTTAAAGGAAATCTGGGTCATGTCACCCTTTCCCCCAACCTTGTTTAAATCTCTTTAGTGGACCCTGAGCTTTGAATTTTAAGGTGAATATGTAGCAAAAAACCAGAAAGAAATGCTAACTGGAGGGGAAAGAGCTCCATTGGGAAATGGACAAGGAGTAAGGGAGAAGATATGGCACTGATGGCTGGGGGATGGGCCAGGTATTTCCAGGTTCTTGACCTCAGTTCAAAGAACTGAAATAAGGGCTCATGTGATTTTGCAAAAGAAGCAAGATGTCTTTCTTCTCAACAATGTGTAATAGTGCAGGGCATAGAGGAGTATGCTGTCAAGGCTGACAGGAGGCCACGTGAGTGATTATTGTTTGGGGTTCCCTTTATGGGGTTCAACAGAAAGAGTTCCTTACTGAGGGAATGTAATGTAATTTAAGTAGGTCGCTACTTTGATTGATCAATTAATTCATTTAGTCATTTTTTCCTACTGTGCTCCCTTCCCATAATGCATCTGATTCTAATCGTGCTCATTCATGCTCAATTATGCATAGGCATAAGATGGAAAATAGAGGAATCCTCCCTAAAAGGTTATG